TTTGCAGATGACACTAAACTGGGAGGAGTGGTAGATCCTCTGGAGGGTAGGGATAGGATACAAAGGGACCTAGACAAATTAGAGGATTGGGCCAAAAGAAATCTGATGAGGTTCAACAAGGACAAGTGCAGAGTCCTTAACTTAGGATGGAAGAATCCCATGCACCGCTACAGACTAGGGACCGAATGCCTAGGCAGCAGTTCTGCAGAAAGGGACCTAGGGGTTACAGTGGATGAAAATCTGGATATGAGTCAACAGTGTGCCCTTGTTGACAGGAAGGCTAATGGCATTTTGGGTTGTATAAGTAGGGGCATTTCCAGCAGATCAAGGGATGTGATCATTCCCCTCTATTCGGCATTGGTGAGGCCTCATCTGGAGTACTGTGTCCAGTTTTGGGCCACACTCTACAAGAAGGATGTGGAAAAATTGGAAAGAGTCCAGTGGAGGGCAATAAAAATGATTAGGGAGCTGCAGCACATGACTTACGAGGAGAGGCTGAGGAAACTGGGATTGTTTAGTCTGCAGAAGAGAAGAATGAGGGGGGATTTGATAGCTGCTTTCAACTACCTGAAAGGGGGTTCCAAAGAGGATGGATCTAGACTGTTCTCAGTTGTGGCACATGACAGAACAAGGGGTAATGGTCTCAAGTTGCAGTGGGGGAGGTTTAGGTTGGATATTAGGAAAAACTTTTTCACTAGGAGGGCGGTGAAGCACTGGAATGGGTTACCTAGGGAGGTGGTGGAATCTCCTTCTTTAGAGGTTTTTAAGGTCAGGCTTGACAAAGCCCTGGCTGGGATGATTTAGTTGGGGATTGGTTCTGCTTTGAGCAAGGGGTTGGACTAGATGACTTCCTGAGGTCCCTTCCAATCCTGATATTCTATGATTTTATTTTATGATTCTATGACAGAAATGTGGGGCTGCAAGGGCCCTCAAGAAGTCACCAAGTCTAGCCCCCTACGCTGAGGCAGGGCCCAGTAAACCTGACTGCCCAGGCTTCACCCTGGTCTCCAGGTGGGGTGGGGGAGGGGCATCCTCAGACCATGCTTCATCCAGACCTTATTTTGCTGCTAACACGAGGTGATCCTGGGCAAGTCGAGGGCAGCAGAGACCAGTGGGAGGGAAAAGAGAGGGGCTCAGCAGGGATATGTGACGCTGGGGGCACAAGCGCTAATACTGAGCTGTAACATGTGTGTCTTGATTAGCAGCTGCCACTTTCAGTAGGAGTAAGGAAGAGCAGAGTCCAGGGGAAGAGATGGGATGGGGGCAGCTGGTGTGGGTGTGGAAGGTTGCGCTGTCACCATGTGTGTTTTCTGTTAGAATCATAGAATCATAGAACCACAGGATTAGAAGGGGCCACAAGGGCCATCTAGTCTAACCCCTGCCCAGATACAGGATTTGTTGTGTCTAAACCATACGAGAGAGATGGCTGCCCAGCCTCCTTTTGAAAACCTCCAGTGATGGAGCTTTCACGTGTTCCCTTGGCAATCTGTTCCATTACCCTATTGTTCCTACAGTTAGGAATTTTTTCCTGAGATTTAATCTAAATCTGCTCTGCTGTAGTTTGAACCAATTGCCCCTTGTCCTGCCCTCTGTGGCAAGAGAACAACTTTTCTCCAGCTTTTTTATGGCAGCCTGTCAAGTATTTGAAGATTATCATGTCCCCCCTCAATCTCTTCTTTCCTAAACTAAACAGACCCAGTCCCTTCAGCCTTTGCTCAGATGGCTGCATTCCATCCCTTTACATAAGAACATAAGAATGACCCTACTGGTTCAGACCAAAGGTCCATCTAGATCAGTAGCCTGTCTTACGACAGTTGCCAATGCCAGGTGCCTCAGAGGGAATGAACAGAACAGGGAATCATCAAGTGATCCATCCCCTGTCACCCATTCCCAGCTTCTGGCAAACAGAGGCCAGGGACACCATTCCTGCCTGTCCTGGCTAACAGCCATTGATGGATCTATCCCCCATGAATTTATCTAGTTCTTTTTTGAACCCTGTTATGGTCTTGGCCTTCACAACATCCTCTGGCAAGGAGTTCCACAAGGAGTTGACTGTGTGTTGTGTGAAGAAATACTTCCTTTTATTTGTTTTAAACCTGCTGCCTATTTGATCATCTTTGCCGCTCGCCTCTGGATCCTTTCCTGTTTCTCCACATCCTTTCTATACATTGGTGACCAAAACTGGACACAGTCTCCAGCTGAGGCCTAACCAACACTGAGTAGAGTGGTTCTATCACCTCCCATGACTTGCATGCTATTCCTCTGTTAGTGCAAACTAAAATTGCATTTGCTTTTTTTGCAACAGCATTGCATTGTTGACTCATGTTGAGGTTGTGATCCACCACAACTCCCAGATCTTTCCCAGCAGTGCTGCTGCCAAGAAAATTATCCCGACTCTGTATTTGTGCATTTGAAGTACAACCTTACTAGAAATGGGTTAGACAGAGGCAGCAGGTCCAGTGGGTATAGCTGGAGATCTATGATCCTATTACAGCCAAGCTAATAGCTACTTGCCCTCTCCTGTTCCCCTGATATGCTGTGATGGATGTAGAATCATAGAATCATAGAAGATTAGGGTTGGAAGGGACCTCAGGAGGTCATCTAGTCCAACCCCCTGCTCAAAGAAGAACCAACACCAACTAAATCATCCCAGCCAGGGCTTTGTCAAGCCGGGCCTTAAAAACCTCTAAGGATGGAGATTCCACTACCTCCCTAGGGTAACCCATTCCAGTGCTTCACCACCCTCCTAGTGAAATACTGTTTCCTAATATCCAACCTAGACCTCCCCCACTGCAACTTGAGACCATTGCTCCTTGTTCTGTCATCTGCCACCACTGAGAACAGCCTAGCTCCATCCTCTTTGGAACCTCCTTCAGGTAGATGAAGGCTGCTATCAAATCCTCCCCTCACTCTTCTCTTCTGCAGACTAAATAATCCCAGTTCCCTCAGCCTCTCCTCATAAGTCATGTGCCCAAGCCCCCTAATCATTTTCATTGCCCTCCACTGGACTCTCTCCAACTTGTCCACATCATTTCTCTGGGAGGCCTAAAACTAGACGCAATACTCCAGATCTGGCCTCACCATTGCCGAATAGAGGCGAATAATTTCTTCCCTCGATCTGCTGGCAATGCTCCTATTAATACAGCCCAATATACCGTTGGGCTTCTTGGCAACAAGGACACAGTGTTGACTCATATCCAGGTTCTTGTCCACTGAGCTGTTGATCACTACCCGTTGAGCCCAATGATCTAGCCAGCTTTCTATCCATCTTATAGTCCATTCATCCAATCCATACTTCTATAACTTGCTGGCAACAATACTGCGAGAGACCGTATCAAATCTTTGCTAAGGAAATCATGTCTGTCCTCAGGAGCTCTGTAATTCCCTCTAATACATTCCTTCAACCTAAGCCAGCTCCCCTGTCCACATTTGTGCCTGGGGCCCCTCTCTGGGGAATTCAGGAGGGGCAAGTGATGCTGTGTTACTCTGAGTGGGTTTAACGATGAAGGAGCCAGCCCGGGCCCAACACATTTGTTTATTCCCCCACTTTCTGCTATTAACTATCAGTAATGGTATACTAGCACCTAGGAACCTATCACAGATGTGTAACATAGATACATCCCTGGCCCAGGGAGCTCACAATCTATATGAGAGATGTAACGTGAGTGACAGAGACTCCTAGAGCAACTGTGGGCAGTGAGGATGAGGAAACAATAAACCAAACTGGGCTGTGAGCGCTGACCACACTTATTTGTCTGTTCTTAGGAGCAGAGAAAACCAGGCCCCAGCACTACTGAATAACAGAGTGTTCTTGTTGGTTCAGGTCACAGTGTAATGGTCAATGTTTTATTCTAAATATGAACCCAGAATCAAAATCAGATGGAAAGTGAGTGTAAACAGAGGACAGTGGAACATTCATTGTTCCCTTGGAAGCACTAGGCTGGTCTCAGACCCTCAAACTCATGGGTTCTCTTCCCTATCGTCCTCCTGCAGGAAAGCTCCTGGCAATGAGCACACTTTACCCACAGCCTACGTAGTGTAACATTATTGATACTCTTTCTCCAGCACTGAGACCTCGGATGATCTCAGTCCTGCCGGAATTCACAGATTCCTAGTTTTTAAAACCTGAAGGGACCATTAGATTTAGTCTGACCTTTATAACACAGGCCAGTGAAGGTCACCTAGTTACTGAGCTCAGTGACTTGTGTTTCACTAAAGCGTCTTTCCAGAAAGGCACCAGTCTGGACTGGGAGACATTAAGGGATGGAGCATCCACCACCTTTGTAATTTGTTAATCACCTGCACTGTTAAAAACTTGTGCCTTATTTCTCATTTGGATTTGTCTGGCTTCAGCTTCCAGCCATTGGTTCTTGTCCTGCCTTTCTCCACTAGATTACAGAGTCCTTTAATGACCAGGATTTTCTCCCCATGAAGGCACATAAACACCATGATCAAGTCACCTCTCTCTCTTCCTTTTGATAAACCGAACAGATCGAGCCCTTTCATTCTGCCCCTGTAGGGCATTTTCTCCAGCCCTCGGATCACATTTGTGGCTCTTTTTTGTACCCTCTCCACTCTTTTTGAATGTTCTTTCCAAAATGCGGCCATTAGAACCTGGTGCAGTGTTCCAGGGTCCATCTCACCCATGCCAAACACGGAGCTAAAACCCCTCCCAGCTCCTGCTCACTGGCGAGGGGGTGTCTGGCAGAGCTGCTTTCCCACCCTTTCAAACTGTCATTCCTCCTCCTCTCCCAGTCAGTTCCTTGTCCCCTTTTTTCTGTTTTCCGTCTCCTCTTTCCTCTCCAGGCCCCTCCCTTCTTTTCACCTCACCCTGCACGGAGCAGGGCAGAGGCCAGCAGCAGGCACCTCCCACCAGTGACAGCAGAACACACAGTGCAGGGGAAGGAGACAGACAGACTGAGAGCCCAGCAGCCATGGAGACACCTGCTCCACCAGGGAGTGGGAAACATAAGGCTGAGGGTCAGGAACCCCCGGCCCCAATGTCTATAGCTGGCAGAGAGCTAGATGATACTTTTTGTTACATCTGTCAGGATCATTTGACAGACCCAGTGACTATAGAGTGTGGGCACAACTTCTGCCAGGGCTGCATTAGCCAGCGCTGTGAGGGAGTGGAGACAGCCGCCTGTCCTCAGTGTGGAGAAACGTTCCAGAAAAAAGCCTTCAGGCCCAACACGCTTCTGGGCAGCATAATACAGTCCATCAAACAATGGGGCTTAAAGCCAGGACAAAGGGGAAGGGAAGGGAACGTCTGTGAGGAACATGGCAAAGAGCTCACATGGTTCTGTAAGAAGGATGTCAAAGCCCTTTGTGAGGATTGCAAAGGATCCCCGGCTCACAGCTCTCACACTGTGATTCCCATGGGAAAGGCTGCCCACGAGTCCAAGGTAGGGGTGTTTTTGTTGGCTAATTAAATCCCTTCAGGGCCCTGTGTCACCCCCTCTCTGGACAGATACCAGTCTGCTGTGACTGAACCTAACCACAGGATCCCATGTGCTTCTAAGACTTCAGCTCTGGGTCTCTCAGCTGCACTCCCAGTTGCAGACCCCATGTCTGCAGGACCGGCTTTAGGCCGATTCCCCTGATTCCCACGAATTGGGCCCCACGCCTAAGAGGGCCCCGCGCCCAGCCAGAGCGCGGCAAGTCCCGCGGCCCCGTTACCCAGGCCGGAGTGCCGGCCCGAGCGCAGCAAGTCCTGTGGCCCCGTTCCTCCCGCCAGAGCGCGGCAATCCCCACGGCCTCGCTCCCCCGGCCGGAGCCCAGCAACCCCATGGCCCTGCTACCCCGGCCAGAGCGCCGGCCCGAGTGCAGCAAGTCCCGTGGCCCCATTCCTCCTGCCAGAGCACGACAATCCCCGTGGACCTGCTACCCCGGCCGGAGCCCAGCAACCCCGTGGCCCCACTCCCCTGGCTGGAGCCCAGCAACCCCGCGGCCCCGCTCCCTTGGCCGGAGCGCCGGCTGGAGCGCTGCAAGTCCCGCGGCCACGATTCCCCAGTCAGAGCGCTGGCCGGAGCGCCCGGCGCTGCCCGGTGAGTACAAGCCCCACAAATTGGGCCCCGCATGTGCTAAAGCCAGCCCTGCATGTCTACCCCCCCTTCTTTGGGATGTGCTCCTCCGCACCCCAGCTGTCTGAAACCCCAGACCCAGAGCCGCAGCCCTCCCAAGCTCCTACTTGGTTACACACACTCTGGCAGATTTCCAGCTCACTGTGGGCACGCTGAGTTCGCGATTGACCCCTTCAGGGACAATGTGTCAGGCGAGCCAGGAACACAGGCTTAGCAAAGGATTTCTTAACCACTGGCACTTGTATTTTTAAGACAGCACAGAGAGAGTTACAGAGCTACACAAAATAACGAACAGTCCTGAGACAAACTGCCCCCTATCCTCTGTGTCCGCTCGCACCCCTTCTATCACTATGGCTACACTACAGCCTATGTTGGCAAAACTTGTGTTGCTCAAGGGTGTGAATATTCCACCCCTGTGAGTGGCATAAGTTACACTGATATCGGTACCGCCGCTCCTGGGGTTGGGTTTTTTATGCTAACAGGAGAGCTCTCTCCCATCGACACAGAGCGCCTTCACCTCACGCGCTGCAGTGGCACAGCTGTATCAGGAGAGCTGAGTGGCCGCAGCCCTTCTAGTGTAGACATATGACTCTGAGGTCTGGTCAGCATCTCAGGCAAGGCAGAGACCCTCCTGCTTTCTCTCTCTCCAGCCTTGTCTTCTGGCATATGGTGGGTGATGTTCTCTCTTGCTCTGAGAGCATCTCCCCTTCAATATATTCCCCTTTTACTGTATGGAATTGTCTGAGCTCCATGGACCAATCTTTTTTGTCTAAGAAATTCTTCACTAAGCTCCGTTCTCATGCCAATAGCAGAGTCAGAGTTCCTTGTTTTAGTTACTAAGAGATGTTTTTTCTGCCTTTTAATCTTATTAGCCTGCAGAGGGAAGCCAGGTCTGGGAGAGGGCTCTTTAACCCAGCAGACAAAGGCAGAGTGAGATCTAATGGCTGGAAGTCAAAGCTAGACAGATTTAGGCTAGAAGTAAGGTGCACATATTTTACCATGAGGGGGATTTACCATTGGAACAACTTACCAAGGGTTGTGTGGTGGGTTCCCCATGATTTGGAGTCTTTAAATCATTGCTGGGCATCTCTCAGAGACCTGCTCTAGCTCAGCCACAAGTTGATGCTGTGGGAATCTCTGGGGGAGGTTCTCTGGACTGTGCTCAAAAACAGGAGGTCAGACCAGAAGTTCAGAAAGGTCCGTTCAGGCCTTATCAGCTGTGAATCTATCACTTATTCTGGCTAATGCTGCTCCATACAGAAGCGTAACCCTTTGTGGTTGACAAAGGTGCATGGCAGTGGGTTTAGCAAACTGTAGCCGTAGAGGGCTGAACAAGTTAGCTACATTACAGTAACTCCTCACTTAAAGTTCTCCTGGTTAACGTTGTTACGTTGCTGATCAATTAGGGAACGTGCTCATTTAAAGTTGTGCAATACTCCCTTATAACTTTGTTTGGCAGCCGCCTGCTTTGTCCACTGCTTGCAGGAAGAGCAGCCCGTTGGAGCGAGCTGATGGGGGCTTGGAACCAGGGTGAACCGGCAGCCCCCCTATCAGCTCCACGCTCCGCTAAGTTCCCTGTGCGGTAGCCGTTCAAGAGGCTATCAATTGCCAGCAGTTCAGCTGTCCCTCCCCCACTGCCATGTGCTGCTCCTACCCTCTGCCTTGGAGCTGCTCCAGGGAGCCTCCTGCTTGCTGTGCGGGGGGGGGGCTAATATCAGGGTGTCTCCCTCCCCGCTACTCCTGTCCCCTGCTTACCCCATCTCCATAGAGCGGGGAGGACAGGACAGAGGGAGCTTGCAGGCAGCAGCTGCTGTCTCAACTTGCTGATCTACTTAAAAAGGCAATGTACTTAGAGTAGGGTCAGTGTACTTAAACGGGCAATGCGTGTCTTTCTCTCTCACACACACACCCTGTGTGTGTGTCTGTCTGCCATGCTGTCTCCCCTCCCTCCATTCGTGCTGCCTTGTAGAGTGTGAGGCTACATTAACAACAATGTGTTAACCCTTGAGGGCTCAGCTGAGTGCTAGTTCATCATTGATCAGGAAGGCATTCCCTGGGAAATATCCCACCCTCTGACTTCACCACCTCAACCAAGCTTCACAATCATCATTGCTGTGCACAGTATTAAATTGTTTGTATAAAACTTATAGTCTGTATACATATATATAATATAGGCTTTTGTCTGGTGAAAAAAAAATTTCTCTGGAACCTAACCCCCTCATTTACATTAATTCTTATGGAGAAATTGGATTCGCTTAACATTGTTTTGCTTAAAGTCGCTTTTTCAAGAACATGACTACAACGTTAAGTGAGGAGTTACTGTATTTGCTCACATGAATGAAATTCATAAATACCTAGGGATAGCTAGTAATTTACCCTTCTGAAATGGGATTGCCCTGATGGGAAGAGGGTTTTGTGTCTGAAAGTGTATGGCATACCCATGGGGAATGGTCACTGAATGTTTTTTCACTTGGTTTTATTAAATTATTGACAGTTTCTCCATTTCTCCTTTCAGAGGGAGACAAGAACATCAAGCAGGTACTGTACATGCATTTGCCTTTGTCATTTCCCCTGACATTCCTGTTTGATGCACTGCAGCATCACTGCACTGAACAGCTGAAAATCTCTTCTCTTTAGGAGTGAAAATGTGAATGTTCAGGAACAGGAAGCCATTTCTACTCAACTGCAGGAGCTCAGAGGTAAATGAACGCCACTCTCATATTCAGCAGTGCCCACCCCAAACACTTATAACTCGTCAGTCAAGTCCAAATACATAACGAGACTGGATAAAAAAATATCACAAGATTTTGAACAAAAACAATTGTACCACCTGGTTTTTGAACATTTAAGGACATTCGAGCCATCCCCTTCCCCACTCCCTGCCCCCACAGTGTGTGTGTGCTCTTTCAGGATGCACAGCCAGTCTCAAGAACACACGTACACATGTGAGCATCTCCGGGAGTTGGGGCATTAGCTCAAATGGTGGCGGTGCTGGTGGCTCTCCGGGTTTGTGTTCAGACTGCACAGGTGGGGGTTGGTCACATACCTTCATGTGCAAATGCTCAGGCTGAGATCACGAGATTAGAGAGGCAGGATGGTCCAGTGGTTACAGAACTAGCCTGCTCTGCCACAGATGTGCTGTGGGACCTTGGGTGAGTCACTTAGGGACAGATTATTAAAGCTGTGTAGGTGCCTAAAGATGCAGATTAGCACCTAGTGGGATTTTTGGACATGCCCACGTGTCAAACTCCCATTGATTTCAATAGGAGTTAGGTGCCTAGTTGCTTTTGAAAATCCTACTAGGTGCCTATCAGAGTCTTTGGGTGCCTCAATCCCTTTAGAAATCCTGTCCCTCTGTGACTCAGGTCCCCATCTGTACAATGGGGATAGTAGTTGGGCTCTACTTCCCAGAGGGGTTGTGAGGATAAAAACACTAAGGATTGTGAGGAGCCCAGAGGGGATGGTAATGAGGGCCAGATCGGTATCAAAACAGATTATGGTACCAACACCAGAAGAGTTCAGTCTCCTGTCAAAGTATTGTGCTTAGTACCAGAAATGTGTGTTTAATCCTAAAGAGATGTGGGCACTCAGAAAGTTGTTCTTTTTTCCATGACTAAACTTTTGTGCCCTGCTCTAAACATTATAGAGTGCTCACCTGCAGCAAATGTCATACGTAAGGATATGATTCTGTCACAGAGACACGGAGCAGCGATAGCGGCCCCTGCCTGCAGTCAGCCCCTGGCAGTGCTCACAGTCTTAGTCCCCCCCCCCTCAAGGTATTTTTAGTAAAAGTCAGGGACAAGTTGCGGGCTTGCATGAATGTTTATTGGCTGTGACCTGTCCCAGATTTTTACTAAAAATACTGGGGCTTCGATTAGTGGCACTTAATTCAAGCGATTAACTCAAAAAAATTAATTCCAATTAAAAAAAAATCGCACTTTTAATCACGCTGCTAAACAATAATAGAATACCAATTGAAATGTATTCAATATTTATGGATGTTTTTCTACATTTTCTAATATATTGATTTCAATTACAACACAGAATACAAAGTGTCCAGTGCTCACTTTATATTGTTTCTGATTGCAAATATTTGCACTGTAAAAAACAAAAGAAATAGTATTTTTCAATTGACCTCATACAAGTACCAGAGTGCAACCTCTTTATCGTGAAAGTGCAATTTACAAATGTAGATTATTTGTTAAATAACTGCATTCAGTAACAAAACAATGTAAAACTTTAGAGCCTACAAGTCCACTCAGTCCTACTTCTTCGTTAAGACAAACAAGTTTGTTTACATTTATGAGAGATAATGTTGCCTGCTCCTTATTTACAATGTCACCGGAAAGTGAGAGCAGGCATTGCAAGGTATTTATTTATCGGATATGCTAAACATTCATATGTCCCTTCATGCTTCGGCCACCATTCCAGAGGATATGCTTCCATGCTGATGACGCTCGTTAAAAAAATAATGCATTAATTAAATTTGTGACTGAACTCCTTGGGGGAGAATTGTACATCTCCTGCTCTGTTTACCTGCATTCTGCCATATATTTCATGCTATAGCAGTCTCAGATGATGACCCAACACATGTTGTTCATTTTAAGACCACTTTCACTGCAGATTTGACAAAACACAAAGAAGGTAGCAATGTGAGATTTCTAAAGATAGCTACAGCGCTCGACCCAAGGTTTAAGAATCTGAAGTGCCTTCCCAAATCAGAGAGGGACAAGGTCTGGAGCATGCTTTCAGAAGTCTTAAAAGAGCAAGACTCAGAAACTACAGAACCCGAACCACCAAAAAAGAAAATCAGCTTTCTGTTGGTGGCATCTGACTCAGATGATGAAAATGAACATGCATCGGTCCGCACTGCTTTGGATCATTATCAAGCAGAACCCATCATCAACATGGATGCATGTCCTCTGGAATGGTGGTTGAAGCATGAAGGGACATATGACTCTTTAGCGCTTCTGGCATGTAACTATCTTGTGATGCTGGCCACAATAGTGCCATGCAAACACCTGTTCTCACTTTCTGGTGACATTGTGAAAAAGAAGCAGGCAGCATTATCTCCTGCAAATGTAAACAAATTGGTTTGTCTGAGCGATTGGCTGAACAACCAATAGGACTGGGTGGACTTGTAGGTTCTAAAGTAATCATAATTAATCTCATGATTAATTGCACTGTTAAACAATAATAGAATACCATTTATTTAAATATTTTTGGATGTTTTCTACATTTTCAAATATATTGATTTCAGTTATAACACAGAATACAAAGTGTACAGTGCTCACTTTATATTTATTTTTATTACAAATATTTGCACTGCAAAAACCAAAAGAAATAGCATTTTTCAATTCACCTAATACAAGTACTGTAGTGCAATCTCTTTATCATGAAAGTTGAACTTACAAATGTCGAATTATGTACAAAAAATAACTGCATTCAAAAATAAAACAATGTAACACTTTAGATCCTACAAGTCCACTCAGTCCTATTTCTTGGTCAGTGATCTGTGCGTTTATAGGGAGCTGGGGTATTCAAAGCTGCCTTAGGGATCTGAATACTCAATTTTTGTTTAAATTAATGGGCACCAAATGTGCAAACACCCAAAGCACCTGAAGTGCTGTAAACTTTATGTAGAAATTTGCAAGTGTCAGAAGAATTGGGAAGGGGAAATGTCTGTTACAATGATTTCCCAGTGGGGACGGAAGCAGGTAATTCAGAGAAGCAGAGAGGAGCTGTGCTGTTTACTTGTGCTTTGTACTTGTGAAAGTTGGAACTGGATGTTGTACCTTTAGAACTGTCAGCTACACACTCTGTCAGCACCAGGTGTGAACTGGTTTAGTTCATGGTTTTAACAGATACAATATGTGCTCTGAGTCCATGTTTAGGTGCCAAAGATTAACTCATTTTAAGTTGTATGTAAAATTTGTCTATGTGCCCAGAGAGAGCTATGTTGGGCTCATTTCCAACCACTAAAAAATCAAGAACAATTAACTGTCACTGTCTTGTTCCCTGGGCTTTTCAGAGAATTCTCCACACCAGCTGCACTGGTGAGCTGTGGCTGGGATGCTGTAATAACACAAACACACTCAGGATTTGCACGGCTGGTCTGACACGCTGCTCACACTGGGCACAAGTTGCTCTCGCTCAGGCTGTGCTCAGCAGTGACTGGCAAACATGACATGACCTCCATTTCCAGCAGTGTTGGTACCCCAGGGCTGACACCAAATGGATGAGGTCCCAGAGGAAAGAACTGATCTCAGAGGCGATGCCTTTAGGGGCCCATCCACACCTCACTCTCTGGCTCATGCTGACCTTAGCACCCAGCTAAAGAAAGACACCTCCACCCTGTTCTTAGCTGGGCCACCTCCCACTGAACCTAGCCTTACAGGGAGCTGTTCCCGTGTATCACTAGGATCAGGGGACAGTCACTACCCACAAGCTCAGGAGCTGGCACAGGATGGGGGTGCAGGGACCTCCACAGATGGACCTGTCTGTGTCTCTCCCTTTGTTTCTCTATTTCATAACTACAGCAGAGCTGCATTAAACAATAATAGGAACTTCACCATAAGCATGATGGAATGAAATCTCATCTCTCCCCATTTTCTTCCCCTAGAGATACTGCGATCTGAACTGGAGAGCGTGAAAGGTCAGTGTCTGGGCTACTTACATTAACTGATGTAAGGGTTATTCCCATAAATGTGACAGGGGACTCTCACCTCTCTCCCTTTTCTCCCCCTAGAGCAGTGGTTTTCAACCTGTGGACAACAGACCACAGCTTGTCTGCAGACTCTGTCTAACATTTCCAAAGGGGCCTGCACCACCATTCAAAATCTTTAGGGGTCTGCAAATGAAAAAAGGTTGAAAACCACTGCCCTAGAGACGCTGCGATCTGAACTGGAGAGCGAGAAAGGTCAGTGTCTGGGGCCAATGGGGTGGGTTAAAGATTATATGAGAATGTTTCTGAAAAATATGGTGGATCAGTAAACTAGAGATTACCAAGCAGACGAGACATTTGGAATGAAGCCAAAGGGAGACTGGGACTTAGGCTTTGTCAGCACTATGCACCTTTTAGGCACACAGCTGTGCCACTACAGCCAAGCTGCTAAAACACGCACAGTGTAGCTGCTGTTTGTCAGCGGGAGAGAGCTCTCCTGCTGACAAAAAACTTCAAATGAGCAGCAGCAGCTTTATCAGCAGGAGAGCTCTTCTGCCAACAAAGCGCTGCTCACACCAGCGCTTTTCGCCAGCGAAACTTTTGTCTTTCGTGTGTGTGTGTTTTTTTAACAACTCTGAATGACGAAAGTTTTGTCATTCAGTTGCCAGTGTAGACAAAGCCTCAGTATAAAGATCGTCACGGGACGGGGCATCCCTCCCTCACCCTGGAGACCCAGCTGTGCCTGGAGGCTCATGGGAAGTGATGGCTCCAGCTGCGGCTATGGAACTCACTGGGATGCAGCGCCTGAAGTGGGGACACCACAGAGCAACGGGGAGATGGGTGGGAAATGAGCAGAGCCCCCATTTCAGCAGGGGTTGTGGGGGGAAGGTATTTGCACGGAGATGATTCAGATGGGGCAGGAGGGGGCTACACGTGTGTTGTGGAGAAAGTACAAAACTCACATGGGATAAATGGTAAATTCTCAGAATGGAGAGGGGTAACAAGTGGTGTTCCCCAAGGGTCAGTCCTAGGACC